AAGGTCGATTTTTGAATTTTACGGGAAAAAATAAGAAATTTGCGTTCATCTAGCGGTCCCCGCATCGCTTAAAAGTCATACCCTTCTTTGTATATTTTAGGGCGTAGAATTGATTTCTGAAAAGGAAAATTGTCGCTCATTTTTCGTTTTCTTGGTTTTTTTATTTTAATGTTTTATGCTGTCGGTAAGAGAAAAAAATCCAAGATGAGAGCGTTATACTGCATATTTACCAAAGTTTTTTTTCTTTGCTAACCGAAAGTATAGTGTCTGAAGTATGATAAAACGCACAAATAACACCATCGGTATCGTGAATGATGATTTCGAGTATCGACTTTTGCTCATAAGAAACAGGCATTGCGCAACACCGTACGGCGCTGCGGTTGTGGCAACAATAGCTAGTCTCGTCACGTAGTCGGGACGATGGCTAATTTAGTAGCAGGAAATATCACTGCGTAAAGAAAAAAAAACAAGAAGGAAAGACAGGAACACGGCGGGTAAGTTAATAAGAAGAACGAATTGTATTGCGACACAATGTCTTCGAGAACGTAAGCACTCTGCCATCTCTTCGCGCCGCAGTTTGCGATATGTTATCGCGTATGCCATTGTGTATGCTTGAAAGTGCTTAACGAGTTGCGTTAATTAGAAGCACGTCAACACACAGGTGTGCATTAGTGGTTATACAGATACATTTACCGCGCATTTTAATTTCATTTAAAAATGGACGATTTTTAGAGGCTCTTTTAATTAATATTCCCTTCACTTCAATGCACATTTCATCATCTCGTCGCTAATACTGTTCCTGTACACGCGGCTGTGTAATCCGCGGCGATAAAAGTAGGATATTGTTGTCTCCACGGAGAGAACGTTAATTTCACTCGACGCACGGGCTACACGCAAGATTATATAAAGATCAACGAATGGATGGATACGTAACGTTAATTAACTTTCAGCGCGTATGAGAATTGCAACATACGACAGCGTATATAGAGAGCGATAGTCATAATGCCGATATCCGGGAATTCAAGTGATAATAATCCGTGATAATACAGCTGTGTGTATTATCCGGATTATTATCTTCTTAGTTCAATGATTGTTTATTGCACCTGATTATAAGATACCACAAACTTTAACGAAACACTTAAAATCTTAAAACAGAAGTAATTTGTCTCGTTATTTTCACATGAAAAAGACATGAGAACCAAAGTACGGATCGTGGATAGTCACATTTGCATGACTATGCTTACAAGTTAATAACTTTTTGTGTATAAATATTATATAAGGATAACATTTTTTTCTTTTATTTAATTTAAATTTTCTTTTACTTAATTTTTATTTTATTGTACCTATATGAAAATATGCACAAATATTAAAAAATTATGCATACATCTTTTATTAAATCTTTTATACATCCTATATTAAAAAATATTGCATACATCTTTTTATTAGTATGTAAAAAGTGTGACAACTACATTCGGTCACCCTTACTCGTGAATTAGAGTACCGGGCAGATACTCGGGTACTCGGACAGTAGCCGTTTTATGTTGAAAGTACTGAAAGCTGTCGTACTTTGGTACACTTTGATACGTTGCCGAAGAAAACGCCTGAAAATCGGTTAAAGGGGATATGCGATATTTGTACGAAATATATTCATTGCGCCTCTTTCAAACGCAGAAACCTCGTAAATACAAAATATTAGCAGACAAGAGCGAGGTATTCCTTTTTCGTCTTATTCTGTTCCTTTTTCTCGCCTCGTTACGAGCCACTCGATCCTTTTCATGTCGGCCGCCGTAATAAGCCGTCTTAAGCTCACTTCGAGATTCTCCTCTTAAACCCATTGCGCAATGAAAGGAGTAAGAACTATGAGGACAAGGACAAGAAATATAGGAACAAAAAGGCGATGGGATCAGCCGAATTCAATGTGCGTTCGGAAACGCACAACTGAATGCACAATGACGGAATGAAGCACGAGAGTACTAGACTGAGTAAAAAAAGGAAGAAAACGGAGACACCTTCCGTCGCGACAACGCTCCGAAGCGTTCAAGGTGACTCAGAGAGTTATTTAAATTTAACTCAGGCTGTGATAAATGACGAACTTCGCTGATAAGCGGAATAGGGCGTAGATTAACTGCGCTTTGTACCGCGGATCAATACAGTTTACAATGAAAGAGAAAGGCTGCTGAATTCGGAACACGGACTTTCATCATTTTTTGCATTCGTTGTACATGCGCGAACGGAATATCCCATGTGGATCGAGGAAGAATCCCGTGCGGATCAACAATTCGGCATAATCTGCCGGTGTTTTCGAATACTGAGCTTTAAAATTTAACGGCGAACATATGCTATATTCACTCTTTTATGCAGTGCGTTCAATAACGATAAGCTCATATACCAGCTCGTGGAGATCACGTTGAAGCAGAGTAATTTGTGTTTATATGCGGCGAAAGAAGTAACGACACAATAACGTTTCGTCTACTCGGACGTGATTAGCCATGACAGCCGAAAGTAAGGAAAATAACAGCCTTAGTTATGGGTCATTTAAGGTTAGAGTAAGTTTCAATCATTCACATAAATTTGTTGATCGAACATTAACACGAACTGTTGATACCAATATAAGTAACTGACATCACAGCTTTAAAACAAAATTATTGGAATTAAATAAGTTTATTCTAAATTGTAAAAATATATATATAATATTTTATACATAATAATATATACATTATTACATATAAAATATATAATAATTGTAAAAAAAATAAAAAAATATATATATTATATATAAAAAAGTATATAATTATATAAATATATAAAATATATACATATATAATTGTAAGAAATATATAAAAATAGACATTTTTTTTCATGTGTAAGCCCCAACTTTAATACATTAATAAACCAAATTTGACTCGAAATTGGGACTCGACCCAACAATTTGGACTGTTACCTTAATTCGCTAGTCAGAAGTTTCTAATATATGGCTCCCTTCTTCGCACTTCCAACTATTATGGTCCACTTTTTCGGACGATAACGCGGGTCATCTCGTTTTGCTCTGGTTCGTTCTCGGCCTTAAACCGTTTCAGCGCTCAAACTACACGGATTCTCCCCAGCGTAACCTCAGCATGGATCCGGAACAGCCCGAGATAATATTATTCCGCCGCCAATACGATCGTCATCACGGATTCTTAACTCTGGAATAGTTAGACCATAAACTTTATGTTCCGTGTATTTTCTTAACCGAGTCGACATTGGGCGTTTGAGAGCGTGTTCGCTCTCTGTCCGGCGTTTATTATAACTTATACGCGCGCTCTCTCTCTCTCAATTCCTCTCAATTGTACCGCGCTACTACATGGACGGCTGGAGTTAATCGAAGAGAAATTAAGAGCGAATTTCTTCTTTATTTCGCGCCGTTTGTCCGGAATGTCGCGGTGAGAAATACAAAATGCCACAGATAATATTTGATTTCACTTTACTCTTTAAATAATGAAACTGAGCTATATTTATCGTATCCTCGCGTGTATTTGCCGTCATGAAGTTTTCATACGTTAGCTTCTCAAATACGACTAGCATTTCATTTTATTGGATTACATAACGTGTATATTTTTATTCGAAAAATATTCTCGTTATTTCTGCGGCAAATATATTCGGATAAAACTTCCTCTTTCACAAATGATTCGCAGACATCCAATTTAATATCCATCATTTTACAAATTCTTCCTTGAAAATAGATTAATCTGCAATTGTCGTAACGATTACTTACGGATAATTCACTTGTGCCATTTCCCATTTTTCTTTAATTAATCCTTTGCCATCGGCCTTGAGGCAACATTTAGTTCAAGCCGATGTAGACGTCAGACTAGTCGATACTTTTTTCTATCAAACGTTCTTGATAACGACACTGTCTTTCATAAATCTAGGTTTTTATCTCATCAACCAGTTATAATGATAAAAATCAGTAAATTCTCAATACCCGTCGTCTTTTTTATTTCGAGACTGATAGCTGCACAAGTAAGTGCATTATTACGATGTATGAGTAGAAAATTAATATTATGTAGAATATAATTTGCGCTGAAGATAATGCGGGGCATATCAAAGAATTCTCCGAGGCGACATTTTGATTTCTCTGAAATGGTTGATCGAAAAATTGTAGTTAATTATAAGTTGATCGAAAAATGATAAAAAGTAGTCAGATAAAAAGTAGATCTTTGCATTGCTGGGAGCGACAATGAATAGCGACAAAAAAATTTTCTTGCTAACAGAATTGAATCGGGAATAATTCGAATGAGAAGTAGCAATAGTTGACGTGCTGTAACTGTCATCACTGTCGCTATTATTGTCAATGTCTGTTTCCCATCGTTACTTCTCTTAAAGTCGTAACGATACTAACAGTTACGAGCTCGTCTTGCAGACAGTAGACTAGACAGTATACTCGCCCGGTGCATACAACAATGTAATTTATCGGGCTCGTGTTTACCCGGTAATAAGTTAAATCGTCGATCCTTCGCTGTTGTTTGACAAATGCTCGTTGCGCGATGTACGTTGCAAATTGACCCCGAGTGCTGTTTTCATCGCAGAATCGAGGCGAGTATGATATTCGGATGTTTTTATTCCGATGTCAATATTACAATCGAGGCGGTCATTCGTTCTGCTTGCTCGAATTTTTATGTTTCAATTTCACAAATGAATATTCCACACCCATCCGACCTCACCGCCGATTACATCGATTAATTACATGTTACAAGAGATATCGATGTTTAACGCTAAGTTTTCATTAATTAATCTGCATCGCATCGCCGACTTGCGTAATTGAAATTTGATAAAAGGCGAGTTAATCATCGATGTTGCATAATTTGTCCGAGTAAATAATACACTAATTAGGTATAATAATTCAACATCGAATGTCCGCGAGCTTGAACTGCAATTAATCAATATTACAGGCGGCAGGTTTTACTCCTGAAAGGTTAGAATTCTACTGTGAATAAGGGCTCTTGTTAAATTAAACGCCATTTATCCTAAGACTGTGCTTTATTCAGGAACCTACGACTGTGGTTTATTAAACAAAACTGAATAATGTATGATATTACCTTGGCGGTAACATTTTCTGCGCTACGTAGACGGATTCAAATCAAGTACAGGTTTTCGAATACTTTTGCGCAAACACGTCGAGTGCAATAAATTTCACAATTCTAACGGTATACAAACGTAAAAGTCTTGTGATACTTGATCCTTATGTAGATATAATTGAACGGACTGCAACACGCATTTGCCATTATTTTCAGAAAATAATGTAGTATTCATAACTTTACGAATTATATGAAATTGACGTCTCTGCATTCAATTTATTTGAAGAGAGAGCGAAGGAGAAATGATTTTATAAGCGGTCGTAAAAGCAGCCATAAATAATCTTACGCCACTTTGAACTGCTGACGACCAGTTGAAAGGCTTTTGTCTCTCCCGTTTCGTTTAATCCCATTCCCCCCAAAAATTGCAGCACGAACGCAAGCCAAATCGTTTTGTCGCAGCCAAATTATTTCCGCGTAATATCCAGCTTAAATGTCGTTCTTATGCAGAATACTGCAAAACCATCGAATGTCCTTTTAACGACGAATTCTTGGGGACATTTAGATAACCCAATTCCAACGAAAATCAGAATGTGAAAATGTCGAGGTTATGATAAATTTTAAATAGAAAATAATCAAGGAGTTTAAACTATAATTTCGAAGCAAAAAGCATAGAATGTTCATTCATTTGTACTGTAAATGTTCCCGATAAAGCTATGTGTGTAGCGTGAGATTAACAAAACAAATATACATCATTTACACGGACAACTCGCTAATGTACCTTTAGATCTCTCTTGGGGAGCTACTGCTTAAGCTGCTGTTTTGGGAGCGGAATTGTTCAGAATTATCGAACGAGAATTTATTCGAACACTTGTTTAAATCGAAAATTAATTTACCATGAAGCGAAAGAACAACAAGCAACAGTAAGAACATTACGCGAGAGTTAAATGGCGTTCTGTTAATGTCTTAAGTTGGGTTGATTAAATTTTCCCTTAAGATATCTTACGTAATGATCATTTGGTCTTCCACTTATTTAATTGTCGTTAAATTATTCTCGGGGACTTCTTATCTTTACGATAAGTAAACTCCTCTCTTTAATTGAGCAATATAGATTTCGTGTAATCTGATTTTATCGCATGACTCGTTAAACGTGCTATTTAAATAGAAGTAAAAGCTCGGAATCGCTGCGATTCTTGCGTTATCAACGAATGGTCGTGTATTATCGGTATAAAACGCTAGCAATATGTTGCGTCCGGGCTGTAATACGTTCCACGTTAGAACAGCTCGATTATTACCGGTACGTAATATAGTAGCGGGACTGGAAAAGCGTAACATACGCCCGAGCACATGTGGCCGTTTATGAGCTATCTGGAGTTGTAATATCCCCTTAAAACCTGTATTAGGAAGGATAAAATAAAATATTACCAAACAGTATTTGATCAAATTTTTTAGAAAATTTTAAGACGCGCGTAATTCTAATCTCAAAATAATATAATTTCAATCACACGATAATGCATCTCTATTGATAGTAACAATTCCGGATACTCGAATATCTTGGGTATTCGAATATTTTGGATATTCCGGTGTTTCTTAAATTACTCAGATATCTGAATACTCGGTTACTCGAGTGGTAGCAGTGAGCTGAATACTCGAGAGTTTCCCCTTGTCCACAACCTTGCTTTAATTCTTAATTTAATTCTTAAGGCTTATTTTTAAAATAATCGACTGTGGTTAGTCAATTTCTTACGGCTTAAGAATTAAAGCAAGGTTGTGGACAAGGCGTTTGAGTAGTGCCACTTCTATATACTACTAGACTGCTAACTTCTTATGATTGGCCTGTAGAAAAGTGAGGCAAAACGTAGTGTGAATAGAGGTAGCCATCTTTGTTAAGGCAAAATTTAGTATGTGAATATTTGGGATGCCTTAACAAAAATGGCCGTCACTTTTTGCCTCAGCTGTAACTACACAGAGAGAACGATTTGGTTGAATCAAATAAACATTTCTTTGGAACAGTCCAAACTAATTTTTTGATTGATCGAACAAAATTTTGTTTGACGCAACAAAAATATTTATTTGCGGCTTAGTTACAAAGAAATATTTTTGTTGTGTCAACTAAATAATTTGTTTGGACTATTCCAAGGAAACGTTTATTTGATTGAAAAAATCATTCTCTCTCTGTGCAGGGAGTTAGCAGTCTAGTAGTATATAAAAGTCTATAGTAGTACCTGTGATTTTAACTACCTCTATATCTAGATACCTCAGTGATATATGTGAATATGAGTACCTGTGTACTCGAACATCTGAGTAGTAGACGTGAGTTTGGGAGTACCTGTGCGCCCGAGTAGTAGCGGCGAGTTTTGGGTCTGCCAGAGTATTCTGGCATAGAAATACTCGGTTCGTTCTGACGGCACTGTTCCCTATTTATCCCAACACATACGCACGCAATTCTTTCTCGTCGTTCTTTCTTCGCAGTGCGAAAGCGCACACTATAACTTGGTAGGGATCCTTAAAAAGCGACAGGGATGCTTCACCACGTCTCTAGGAGAGAGTAGGATCGCTCCAGGGACGGCTCAACGTTGGTTGCGCGAGTGGCGGGCCCTCGAGTATAATTAGATGTCCCAGTTTACCACGCAGCATCTCATTATGGAATCCGTTCGCCAGTCGCGAATGTATGCCTCCGCGCTGTCCGAGCCGTGCTCGCACCTCGCTCGATAATAAACTGCGCCGTAAAGTGATTGCGTATAGACGTACTAGTTGTGTGGCTAAAAGTTGACACGTTCGGATTCGGCCCGTTTTATCGATAGCTTCGCTCATATGACTCATTGTTTTTATCATATGGCGTATATAATTGTGTGACTCAACCAGTTCGTGTATCATTAGACGTTCAGTGATGTCGTCACGTTATTCTTTAAGTGCAGAGCGAGATTGAATTTTATATCTGACAATATATATATATATATATATATATATATATATATATATATATATATATTACACATTTTGCGCTATTTCTTCTCATTTTTGGGTCACCGAAGACCCAAGACCGTACAACGAATATTCTGTATTCACTTCTTTTCCACTCCGCTCTCGTACCTTTTTTTCATTCCGAACATCCCGCCATCATACCCTCGTACTTCGGCGAAAACGTGCCGAGAATACCTCACCTGCCCTTCTGTCCGCACAGAGTATTTGACATAATGGTTTCCACAAAATTTCAGTCTTTTATTTATTTCACGAAAGGACAGAGAAAGAGAGAGTTATATCCATTTCAAATCGTGTGTTCTTAACACTGATTGTTTACGTGCGTTGTTCTACCTCCATTGTACGTCATTACGCCAAAGACATTCTCTCTTTTAATTGTTCATTACTCGAAGATTACCCATATCTTGTTTGTTGAGAGGAACGTGTTTGTCACAGTTTTCTATGAGATGTCACCTGCTGTGATTAATAACTGACGCTCCGCTCCGCTGGAAGAAAGGCAACAGAATACTGAAATAGTCCGATTAACGTAGATGCACCGTAAATCGTAGGATTCATACACACACACACATAAACATACACACTAGTATAGCAGAAAGTCAGATAATAATGAATCCTGTTGGAAGAACCCTGGCTTGGAGACTCGCGAGACCAATTTCCACGGCACTCGTTCTGTCGCACATTTACAACGACACACGCCCACTCGTCCTTCACCTGTGGCTCGGGGTGGCATCTATGCTGATGTCACACAGTCTACGAAACAACTTTTCGTCGTTCTCTTTGTCGTACTTCTGCCATTAGCAATAACTCGAATGCGTGTCAGAATATTGGCAGACGATCGCACGAAAGTCGCTTTCTCGCTTGACACCGGCCAAGTGTATAAATCGCGTGACGATTATCTCAAACGATTCATGCTGGATGTTTATCCGGCAGTTGGTGTTCGATCGACAAATATGGATCCTGCGGCGGGCATCGTAAATTCGAGAAGTTCTCCGGTCGCGGTACACACGCCGCCTATAGCGATACACAAAAGAGATATAGGTGATTTAATAAAAGCGGATTGTATATCGGTTGGCGTACTTTATGATATACCTCCGATAAGGTATAACGGCGGCGAGCGGGGCGAAGGGAGATTGAACGGATAACCAGGCTCCGGAATGTCTCTCGTGGGATTTGAAACGCCTGCACCCAGTTCCATAACTCTGACCACTCTTCTAAGCCACGATTCCATCGGTGAATCTCTCGAGTCTGCCTTCTGGAGGCAAGCCAAACTTGCCCTCCACCTTCGTCTTCTCCTCCTCCCTCTGCCTCCCTCTTCAAAGCATACTTACTCGCTCCTCAAGGAAGCGTATATATTCGGGGGACGAATGACAATTGCAGCTTTCCAACGTGCGTTTTTCCTTGGCTCCCTTACAAATAAGTGAAGAAATTTGTGTTAGAGCTCCACCCGGGAGCTACATGTGTATGGCAGTAAAAAGGTTATGCTGACGCGTTTTCGCATGAAAGTGACAGTGCCGATTTATTATTCTGTTCATTGCATGGGAGCAAAATTAAAGAAGGGAAATTCTGAAAACTCAGGCATATTCATGATTTAATGCACACGTAAAGTGCATTATGAGTGCATACACGCCGACATCTCGCCCTTTTCCCGGCGAAATATGAGAAATACATCATTTTGAAATACGGCCAAGGTCAGATCGAACGTCGCTTCTTTATCCAATATCTCCTCCCGCAACAAAAGATCGTCGTCGACTATTCGCAGGATGTTGGCCATGTCAGTTGGATAACGATACCTCATCCATCGCGTAGCAGTGAATTGTAACTTTGCAGATTGGCTGCGTTCAGAAAACAGAACGGTTGAGTGAAACGCTCATTATCGCTAAAATATTCTCTCAGATCTGTCATGAATGTAAAAGTATATTTCAATTACAGGCAATAAACACATTGATTGTTCACTTTGTGCGTTTTGTTCCGCTGAGCGCAGCCATTATTTGAACCTTTAATTTATTCGCTGTTTATTCCGGAGCAGCATTTTCGCGTGCGAGACAGTATCGTGATCGGCATCGTTTCTCGATGACGTAATACCTCTTTTGATAAAGTGGATCGTTGCTCTCGCTCCGACGCTATCCCTATACCGACGCGACGATTATATCCGCGATAGCATCTATAATCACTGATTGGTGAACTCGCCAAACCGTAATTTGCCCGAACGAAAATCTAACCTCGCGCTAGTGAATTAGTTAATTGAACTGCTGCGAATTAAATCAACAAGTTGGAGAACGACTTGGCAGACATTCCGGATTCCTGTCGTAGAAGTGGCGCCATTGGCGAGACCTAATATAATTAATTAACAGTGTCGTCTCGCTATATCGGACAACTAGTATCGGACAACTCCGAATCTCGTCCATCGCCCTCCTAGTTCCTCACCAACTTTAATGACCGATCAATGTGTTAATAGCCATGTATTATTTGATCCAAGTAGTACGAGTATACAACATATATATGTGTATCATTGTTTGCGGCTCACGGAAGACGACAGCTAGGTCAGACAGAGATCAAGCGGCTATCACCGTGACATTAGATCACACGTTGATTCTAGCTATAAAACATAATGCTTTCAATATTATAGAACATAGTGCTCCAATAGAACGATTACAAGCTCAATATAATCGGTATGTTAGGTTGTTAGAATTTTCTAACTGTATGTGTATCATTAACTTATTGATTATTCAAAGAAGAGTCGTATATATTAAATCAATATTCCCCCTTCCCATACAATACAACGTCTAAAATCGGGACATAAGACGTCTTAAAGACATCTTAGGGATATCTTACGTTCCGACATCTGAGAGACGTCTTTAAGATGTCTTTCAGACATCTTATGTCCCGATTTTAGACGTTGTGTTGTGTGGGTTGTCTCTGTGATAGTTCTACGTTTAGGGGATGCTGAAAATTTTACTGACAGAATACTGACATTTTTTGCAAAGTCGTATTGGTTATACAGAATTACAAATGTTTTTACGCAATGAAAGTACGTGCAAGAATAAGTAAGAACATTGCTCAATATATGGTGAAAATGAAAAAAAAATTTTGAATGTAAAATCTTAAGCTGTCTATTATATATATATACAGGGTGTCTCACACTCTCCTCCGGGTATTTTGTGGGGACGTAGAACAGAGGTGAACATAAAAGTCCTGTACTGTTTTGCGATATTCGCATTAATTATCGAGATATTAATTATAGAAAATTTATGAATGATCCTGCAGGTAAATGAGTTATAATAGCGACAACTGCCGTCGTGAACTTATACTTTAGGCCAAATTGAACAAAAAAGTCCTCTACCATTTTGCAAATAATCACATAGATTTTTAATTATTAATTAAAAAAGATGAGTACATTATCACGCAAAATCGTGTAATAATCTTCATTAATTAATAATTAAAAATCTATGTGATTATTTGGAAAA